GTTAGTCTCGTCCAAGACTGGTTTACGTAAACGCTGATCGGATTTCCCTACCATTAAGTCGGTGCATTTAAACCAAATTGACTAATCCCATACCCCACGTGGGCTGGTAATAGGGCGAGACTCCGTGTCACATGATAAAAACCGTCTTATCGTAAGTTGTCAACTAGCGGGCCCTCCCCACACACACCCTGGGTGTGCGCCTGGCTAAAAACGAACACACAAACGGTGAAACCATTTTGTCGAAAAAAACTTTTACATAAGATTTTTCTATACTAACGCAGACGGTTTGGGGGTAACGGCAAAAGCTAAAAGCAGCGATTGCTTTTCACCGGGCGAGTTCCGTAATGACTTGAGATATAAACGAGAATATCGGTCAGAGATCGAAGACTTATCGATCGAAAGTTAGGGGATCCCCCAAAACAGCGCTCATACTCCATAGTGACACCTTGTGTCCCATCACTAATTAATTAATAACTCGCTAATTATACAACATAATTTATCCAAAATCAATAGGCTTCTGGTACGACATATGATGAATGCACATGCAAAATCTGGAGAAGATTCAATTTTGCTTTCGTGAGATATCGCGTGCATCTAACAGACAGACAGGAAAACAAACAGACAGACAAATACCTATCAACATACTTACCGATTAAAATCGCTAAGTAATAATAGGGGGAGTTATAATTAACACAATATACATCAGTATATATATTTACTTACGCACCGTATTTCAAATACACATTCGCTCCAGTTTCTCTCGCTAAATAATCAGAAAATTCAAAAGGAGTTCTCCATACATGGTCTTTTATTCGTTCACGTGCTTTCAGTACAAAGTTATATATACTTTCGTTATTAGACAAATCCATTTTGGTCAGTGAGAGTTGACTATATGACAATATGACTTCCACTAATCCAGTTGCTCTCTATCTTTTTCTTTGAATTCTTCCCTTTGCCTATTCAGGAGAGCCAGATACAAATAACTGGGTGAAACCGCGTACCGCCCTTTACTTAACATAGGCTCTTATATTAGTTACAAGCACAAAACATTTGGTTATTGATCCTATGACAAGCGTTGTTCACTTCCCACAAGCTAGCAGGGCAGTGTAACATCATAAACATGATTAATAAATTGGATTCAGATATATGCTTTGGTGATATACGCAAAGGTTTTGGAAATTTGCACGTACCTCAATAAACTAAATTACTCGTTTCGCGTGCCGCACGTCATTCAAAATTGGTATTTCTCCGCGGGCCGCACAATTTTTTTCTTGTGGGCCGCATTTGCCCCGCGGGTCTCAGGTTGGATACCCTTGAACTACTAGTCTATGACAAAAAATATTGGTCTGTTATCTCTTATTCATTTATATGACTACGTCTTTTTCTTAAATCTCACATTCTTGGATTAGTGACGGGGGTTTTGTACAAAAGATCCACTGACTGACTTGTTTTGGTTCGCGTGTAAGCGAAATTCACTATAAGGACTGTACTGACTTGTTTTGGTTCGCGTGTAAGCGAAATTTACTACAAGCTAATTAGTAGCGACGTATATCATCAACAGGCGTGCACTTAACTAATGTACCACTGCTGACTAACCAAACTGACTAGTTTTCGTATCGCTTGCAAGCAGTGGTGGGATTAAGCAGGTTCGCACCGGTTCTATAGAACCGTCTCACGGAATTTTATTAGATCAGCGAACCGGTTAGCATTACTGTTTACTGCCAACGACCTTTAGTAACAGAACCAGAAATATGACTTTTGGGATGGAACCGGCTGACAAAAAAATTGAATCCCACCACTGCTTGCGAGCTATATTGTACTTAGTACTACGAATGAATTTGAGCGAATTAATTTAAGAACAAGAATTGAAAAAACTGGTCAAAAAATTAGTAGAGATGTACCAACAAGATTGCACTGTACATAGGTTTTCACTGAAGTATTTCACAACTGTCGACTAACTAAGCTGCCTTGTTTTGGATCGCGTATAAGCGGAAATTACTACGAGTGAATTATCTTGTGATGAACAAAATCAAAGCTAGTACCTGCGACTAAACTTGTCACTTGTGATATATGCTCATTGCTACCATGAATTTAATCACCAGTCGAACAAGACAGCCTGCGGGAAATTCAAGTATTCGACAAGCCATTCTCACGGGTGATAGATTACTGCAAAAAAGTAGTAACTTGTACTAAAATTTTTGAGTTATTTAAATTCGATATTATTGTTACGAAGTCAGTTCTCAATATATCTTTGTTTGTTGTTTATTAATCAGTAACTGTTTATGTTTTTTACCTCATTTAATAAATCTATGATGGCCCAAACAAAACATGGTATCGATAAATTCTCTTTGCAACTTTAACTTTTTTCAAGACTTCATGGACACTCCATATATCTGTATATTGGATGATACAAATGGCGAATACCATGTTGTTATTGCCCAGCACGAGTTTTCTGGCATGCTGACTTTAATTCTGTTCTGTCAGGTTTGAATAAATTGGAAGGCGGGGCAAATCAAATTCATCTTAACCTCACCTAAGATAAAGAGCATCAACGAATACAAATCAGGTAGTTAGTGCTGACTTCGATAACACGGCTTCATAGTATCATTAACTGTTCGACCTGTTAATAGTCAAAGTCATGAACGAGAACAGTAAATAATAATTCGAAATGCATGGACTTGAATAAAATGGTACTCCCGTATGAGGGTTTGTTCAAAAAGAATTGTTTTAAAACAAGTTTTTTTTGCCTATTTTGTTCAAAATGGCTGTACTATTTGATTTTTTTGTGTTAAATAGGTTGAAGTAAAATGGATGTTAAAACTTGCCAAGCGCTTCTTATATGCAATAAATCTTTCAAAACGCCACAAATATCGATAGAGGCTCATACACACCTTCTCAAGCTGTAGTTCAGTGGTTGGCACAGTAACACGCAATCGATATGCTATTACGTGAACGACCCTGCTGCGATGAAACTACCTTGCGAAAATTGAAATGCGATCGAATAAATGAGTTTGTACAACCTTGAAAAACTCACTTCAACCCTAAAAAACAAAGTATGCTAAGCATAAATTAACCGAACAGTATTAACCGTAACAATGACTTCATTTTATGAGAAAAATGTCAATACATGACCTCGTTATCCATATTATGGCTTCATAACAGATTAGTTGTGGCGTCTTTGCATCAGAAGACTTACAATTAACATAGGCTAGGTTAGGGTGTCTCATCCTTCATATCAGTAGATTACCGCCGATATAAGCATAATTCTTCATTATCGCAACCCACTCGTTTTGCCGAAGGGCGCACTTGATCGAATTGCTTTTGTAGTAGGCTCGTGAGCTAATTATGATTTTTCTTACTCAAAACGTCTCTCTGATATATCTCGGCTAAACATTTCGGGTAAAATCTTATGACTTTGGTGGAGATATAAAGTGGCGATAAATGTACGCAATCATAGTGGTATAAGTCAAAATAAAAAATTTTACTTACATTTTTGAAATTATAATTCCGGCTGCGTGTGCAGCTGCCAGAATGCAACGTTTTGGCGTAGTTTCGCGGCGATGCAAGGGGTATTTCGAAGAAAAATATAGAAAAAATTTGGTTTAAAACAAGTCCTTGTTAAAAACATGATGTTTTTTTTAGAATTGATAAAAAACAAAACCCTACTCCCGTAGTATATGTAGGTTAGTTAGGGTTAGGCGATAATTTTTATTCCAATTTTCCTTATTTTAGTTCTATTACGAGTTCGGGGACTAGCCAAGTGACTCCCGTAGTATTTGTACTTGAAATTATGGCCTAACCTGGTACACATACTACGTTTCGGTGTCCATCATCTTAGTTCACATACTACGGGAGTACCAATAAAATAGTATTCGCCTTACAGTGCTGTGGCATATATAGGGTTGGGGTTAAGAGTATTTAAACAGCCGTAACTGTAGCTTAATAAGACATAATTCCTTAAATCAGTTTCCACAACAGTTCATAGCATTGTTAAAAGTATGTTAAAGTAACTTTGATTCAATACTGGAGCAAATGAGGATAAACCACACTTTTCGAAATCGGGATTGTTTTAACCTATATTACCACAATAAAAGACAAAGAGTGCAAAAATTGCTGTCCTCCATTTACAAGTTTACTACAAATGGCTGTCACAAACTGATAATATTCCTCATAAACACCTAAATATTAACTGCCGCAACACTGCATTTAACGATAGCTTCGCTGTCGAGCATGTCAAGAGTGCTTGTCTGTAACGAATAAAAACAAAGCGGGATCGACATTAGTATAGAGTTAACAACAGGAAGTAATCACTTCCTCAAATACAATGAGGTCCGACGATCAGTCACAGAAACATATTTATGTTGGTGCATCACATAAAATAGTTCAATTTATACGAAGTACTTCAAGTACCGAGATTGGTCCGATAGTAGCACAGAAAGCGATTAATTTGTAATAAATTACGCGCCAGTAAAGCGCAGGACTTGGAACAGTACTAGTCGAAACTATTAGAATACCTGCTTGTTAACAGCAAAAGAAATGCGCGCATGAATTTTAAGTTTATTGAGTATCGAACATGTCGAGAATAATATATATATTATTCAAATTGAATAATCCTGATAAAAGTATCGTTAACTCATTTCCATTTTCAAGACAGATACATTGGTAAGATTAAATGGCGTTGATTTCAGACACCAAAATGATATACAAAAATAAAATTTCTGATATTTATCCCAGGAGTAATAAAAAACAATTTCGTAATATGGGTGCCTTCGGCTTCTTGTCCAGTTGCCAAGAGCATACCGGGCAAAGGAATAATGTTTAACCAATTTTTTGTATGAACTGTCCGAGACCGGCTTCTCACACTAAACATCCCCAAGACGCCATCCAATTCCGTCCCATTGTATCGAAATAGTCTTTTAAAGACACTTAGATATCCTCAGGACTATCAACCCTTCACAATGCGTTTATCTGCAGGCTTTCATGACAGAAAATGACTTGAGGACATTTCCAACAAGATTGTGCTTGTATTTGTTACATCATAATGAAATTCCCATCACCGTTGTGATTTAATAAAAAGAATAAAACAAGAAGATGACATTTGAAAATGTGAAAAATTTCCGCAATAAAACTAAAAAAAAACAAATGGACTCATTAATTAAACTAATTTGAACAATAGATTCGTCTTAGTTGAAGAAAAAAATAATGTCTTTCTAAAATTGTGTCATAGAATGCAATTTTGAAAACTTTTCTTGAAAAAGTGCAGTTTGAAAAAATTGAATATCGAAATTTAGAACAAAAACAAGAAATGAAGTTTTTGATATTAGGAATAATTTCCCAGAATTTGAACTTGTTTTATAGGCGAGTCATCTAAGGTTGTGTTACGCTGTGCCAGTTACATGCGGAAGATCAATAATGGTGCTTCTTTTGCCCATACCTGAATCTCAACTTATCAAAAACATATTTGGGGATAAAACTAATGTTTTAGTGTGAATCCATTTCTTTTTAATAATATATTATACATCCCTTTTTGCCAATTTTTGTAAGACAACCGCAATGCGCTATTTTGATTTTGAAATTATAATTAGTCTTTAATATTATCTTTCACACAATGTAAAACTTATCCTGCTATAATTTATTAAGGTTCGTGAGATACGAGGTTTCAAAGTTGCATTCCTCGTACGTGATGCTTATTAATATTTCCTTTTCGTGTATTCACTCTTGACTGACATAATTTATTGTGGACTTTTAATTTTTTTAAATAAATCTTTAATAATAATTAAAAAAAAAAAAATTACTGGAAGTGTGGAGGCGTAGGAGCATTGGATCTAAACTACAGAGGCACATTAAGTAAAGATCTTATTTTTCAATTTCATGATTATCCACTAAAACACTGTGAATCCCAATTTTTATTAAATTACGTCCGAGGCACCTTCTTACACTCTAATTCTAAATGAATCTCACTACAAGTTGTCACTAATGCATGAATAATTATACTTCTAGAAATTCAAAAAAGCTGAGAATCACTGTTAGGCTATTGCGCCCAGTAAATTCCTACACAAGAATGACACTTTGTAACGAGCCATGTTCAGGGCAAAACAACTCATGAATACTCAACATAAAAAAGCAAAATACAAACAGTTTCCAAGTACAAAAAATGCTTATATAAACATGCCAATAAAACAAAGTATATACAAAATGATAAAACATCAAAAATAAGCTTTAGAATATAGTAATATCTACTGGTACACCCAAAAATAAACGAAAAAATATTTTTTATCAATTTTTAACAATAAAGATAACATATTGTACAATAAAACTCACACGAAAATAATATAAGAAAAAAATAGGGCTGTGTGATAGCGCTTTATGAGAAAGATATAATACGAACACCAAAATACTAAAATGATTGTCTACAAAGTGAAAGATATATCGATAAAATCATGGAAAAAATGGATGGTTAATAGGACAAAGTCAATGATTATGTACAAATAGAACTTATGAGAATGAAGTGGAGATAATGTGCCAGAATAGGATGCTTTTTATAGGCGATGGATATGATTGTATGAAAGAAAATAGAATACTATGGGCAGGCTTATCATAGGAATACATTTGCGTTAGTGCACAGCAAGAATCTCGTAGAATAGTTAAAATTATTCCTGCCACAGAAGTGGTTGGAATACATTTGCATTAGTGCACAGCAAGAATCTCGTAGAATAGTCAAATTCATTCCTGCTACAGAAGTGGATCTCAAACGGTGGAGCACGCCCAACAAGTTGACGGGCGTGAAACTAATTGAAAATAAAAATATTTGGTAGGTTGGATCCACACTGATTTTTATGTTTTTTTGTTGTTGAATATAAAACATACTTTCGCCTCACTATCTGTTATTTGTAGCTTATTGTTAGCTAGTTCTTTTTTGAGGTGGGCGCGAGACTTGACAAATTCTAAAAAGGGGGCGCGACTTAAAAAGTTTGAGAACCACTGTACTGAAGCAACCTTGCATTAAATGAAACGAATCCTCCAAATCAAAGGCATAAAGGAAGAGTAAAGGAAGTCAAAAGGAAAGCCAATTCTCGTTACCAAATTTGAATACCTCATTATGATGATGATATTAAATGGTCAAAATTACTCATAAAAAGAGTTCGAAAATACAAATACAATTTTTGATAAATTGAATGCAGGAGAGTCCATCTCTGGTTACGATAGTTTTATAGAAATTTTATATCAGACCAACAGAACACCAGCGTTAGTATTTAAGATATAAAGAACAACAAACAATACCAATAGTGATGATGAAATGACAAATGAAGAATTATTACAGAACAATAGACAGTGTGTGCCTGAGTAATAGAATATGATTTTCCTTAATAAATGGAACTTAAAAGATGGCCAAATCATTTATTTTTTCATGGTTTTGATTTTTGGTGAATTTTGACACAAAAAATCTTTGATGATATAATAATGTTTTTGATTATTTGTGACAACGATGGAACATGCAATGGAAAATTTGTCAAAAATTGATACGTGGTCATATGAGACTATAAAATATAATACCGAATATCGCCGACCCCTAAAAACGTCTTAAAACAGTAAATTTATAATAATTAGCATAAGCTGATCCTACAAATCATAACATGTCATGCGCACCTATCACAGCAAATGGTTGCAATCAATGCAATCAGAGTTGACATTCAATTTAGTAAGAAAGAATTGTTGAGATACAAAATGTTTTGAATGATTTTCAATTTTTTTAAGAGTCAAAAGTTAAATGAAGTTCATTTTTAGGTGACATCAGATTTCAAATACTATTGTGTTCCCTCAAAAATAAGACCTAGTCTGAATTTAAAAAATGATTTTAATCTGAGTCCTCCTCTTAAAATAAGGTCGAATCGATAGCTAAAATCCTTCCTACACGTTTTAAACGATTACCGGTAATCTATATATTTGAAAATCTCATAATTAGGTTATCTACTTTGTTGTAATTATGTTTTTGGTAAATGAAAATAGAAGACATCCAATAAAATTAAAATAAGATCCTGTCTTATTTTCGGGGAAACGCAGTAAAAAGACAAATGCCCCTTCTATGAAAGAACATTGGGAGCCATATATAAACAACAGGTATGATATTAGTGCAGCTACACTAGATGTGTACTTTAAAATAAATGCAAATGTATGTTAAGGATTTTAGTCTCAAGTGAATTGGACAACATTCAGACATAATTTCCATGTTCTCAAATTATTCTGATATCAATTTGTGACAAAATTTACAGTAATGACATCAGACAGACTTTACAGACAATTCCTATGTCTGTGCTTAATACTGATTGGTAAGAGATTTTATATACAAATGATATATAGTTACATAACAAAACTGGTTATAAGAGTGAAATAGTAAGTTACATACCAAGGGTTCGAGACCCAGTGGTGTCAGAATTTTTATGTACAAATGATATATAGTTACACAACAGGACAGAAATGGTTATAAGGGTGAAAATAATAGGTGAGGAATAGCAAGTTGGATACCGAGGGTGCCAGAGGGTAATTCTAACCCAGCTGTGACAGCATTTTTATGTATAACAAAACAGAAAATGTTTCAATGGAAAATAAAAGGATAATAGGCGAGGAATGGAGACCCAACGGTGACAACATCTGAGAAGCTGTGTTCAAGCATTTTTATACACAAATGACATGAATAATGTAACATAAATGGTTACAAAGTGAAATAATATGCCCCCATGGGGTTCGAGACCCATTGGTGCACAGAAATTGAAAACTGCCTTCAAATTCGAGCAGTCAATAATCGAGCGGGGCTGCTATCTCTACAACTAATTAACTTTATCACATTGACAATGCAAGGTTGTAGAGATAGCTAGCCCAACTTCTCGAACAGTACGAAGCATATGCTTGGCATAGAATCTTGAAACATGAGTTTTGATAAACTTTTAAATCACCAAATAAAGGTCAAAAAGTTACTGATGCAAGACCTTAGACATAATTTTAAATCTAAAATGTGAATGAAAATATATAAGCTATATCACTTTGAATACTGTCAAAAATACACATTTTTTTCACTAATTTTGCTGTTTTTTTTCTTTCAGTTACTTCTTATCTGCAATGGTTTATGCCAGGCACCAGTGTTAACTCTAAGCAAATTATGAGTGCGAAAGTGCTTCGCAGTCGAAAAAAAAAGTGCGAAAGTGCTTTTGCCGATTTTCACAAGTTATGTGCCCTAGCCTTTCATATAACCCATTTAAAACGGCATAGATACTCGAAAAAGCGCTCCTCCGGTTAATATTATGAATTAAAGAGAAGCCTTTTCGTTAACCGAGTTCCCTTCAAGCGAATTCATGTTTAATTAAAACAAGCGAATTCATCGGCAACGAAATAACATCTGCTAACACCTGCCGCGGACAAAACTTCCATGCAATGTATCACGGTGTCAGTTGCTTACTCGCCTAAACAGCAAAGACTTTCACATTTGTTACTCCTTCCATCTAACAGACACGAGGCAGGCTGGAAACCATATTAGTTACAGGGTGGATCGTTTGTACAAATCCCGTGCAAAATAATCCCCCAAATATAAATAGCCTAATTAGGGTTAGGTGCGCTGGAAATTCAACTTTTCGATTTATCCCTAAGCCTTATCTGATAATTATTAATTTTTGATTTTGAACCACTTTGAAAGTCGCCACCCGCTGTTTTAAAAGATAGGTTAACCTACGTTCCCTCCGAAATATTACGCAGGATACTTCCCTGTTTTAGGAGATAGGTTGACCTACTTTCCTTTCAAACTTTTTTCTCCAAAATATTACACAAGATCACTTTGAAAATCCTCCTGTTTCGTGAGCTAGCGTGACCTAATTCCTCATTTACATTTATATTATACTATTTCAGAGCTTACCCAAAGACAAGTAATTTTTAAATGTCGACATGCCTTGGTTTGCGTGCGAGTTAGTTTAAATCGGGCAGAAAACATCATATATTGGCAAAATGTTCAGTAATGTCATGTACTTTCAACATTCATAAATAGCACTCTTTGTAATGCTGCTGACCTAGTATCAAATATTCGCATCACAACGCCACTTGCGAGGTTTCCATATATTTCAATTACACTAATAGGAACGATGACACCAAAGAGTTTTCTTTTGCGAAGGTACACTAAATATAAGGAGGGTGATTCTTGAGAAAAACATGAATAAAAAAAATAAACGAATGATATGATAGTGGATCCCAAATAATTTTGACAGTGTCTCGAAATACCAATCCATTTGATAAATAATTTTTATTCGACCACATGAACGCTGATATTCTGAAAATTAATGTTGAAAGAGAATTACGCATTCTCAGATATCGGACATCCAGTCGCGATATTCAATCGTTCATATCCACAAATCTCACATTAATAGTAATTGCTACCCAAGTTTGTAAAATTTAGAAACCAACAAACAGAAAATAACTTATCCTAAAACACAATTAAAATTCAGTCGGCAATAAATTCATCGCCAAGACGATGCCATACAAAACAAAAGAGATTTGGTCGCGAGAGTTACGTGAGATGCTGCCGTTGATTTTTAAGCAGAATGAAAAATAATTTATAATTAATAAACGGGAGTTACGACGCCCTTTACACATCGTGTGTATTAAACTTCCCTGGTAAGTACTTTGGTAAGTACTAATATTATTGTACTTATACACCTGTTGGGAGTATTTCGGACAATTTCGAATTTAAAATAAATGAAAACCCGACATATAATAAAGACGCAAAAGTAAAATGAACATTTATTGAAAAAGTTATTATTTAAGAAAGACAACATGATCGTACAATTCCGCCAAAACCTCGATGTTCGCAAGTGAGATGATAAATAAATACTTCCCTGTATTCGATCAATTAACTTTAGCGTATCGTTGTTCTGCCAACAAACAAACAGCCGGGTGCAAAATATTTCAGTCCTGTGATATGCTCACAAATATTCTCGATATTAATATCATACCCTCGCGTATGTACTTTCTATTAGCTCTTTAGTGATCCCTTCCATCCTTGGCCAAGTCATGTTTCGAATATGTGAACATTTTATTCGACCATACATGGCCGGCGGGATGTTAAAATTGTAAACAAGAGAGAGGTAAAATCAATCGCGAATTTCGTTATAACGGCTCGTTTACGTATTGTTGCGCCTGTTATCGTCGAAAATGATTACATTTGTTGTATTTTGAGGCATTTAAGCAGAAATAATTAGGGCATGACATCATCAAAATCGTCAAGTGAGATCTTGAAATTGCAAATTCCGTAAAATAAAATTGTGAATTATTCGGTAACGAATTCAGCTTTAATGACCGTCAGGGTATTGTTTTGTTGAAAATTATTATTAATGTGAGAGCGCCAAAAACATACAGTCCATACCGATGCGACTGCAATTTATATGGTCGCAATTGGTGTGGTGCGTTTATTAATAGTGTAAAAAAAAATTTAACGAATATCAATTATAACCAAGCCTGTCAGCGTGTTTATTTTCTATGGGCAGGAATCGTAAAATACCATCTTGAGACAAATTCACTTCTATCATAAAATCTTAATCGTAATATATCGTATAATAAAATCGTAAAAAACCGCCCCCACACTCGTCCAAACGTGTGTCGAGCTTGAACGACAGGAACAGATTCATCGACGACCTTAATTAGGGAAAATATGTATTTTATTGGGAATGCAAAATAAATGTAACAAAATGCTAACAAAACGCTTGCTCTAAATTAATCGCAAAAATGTTTTATTTTAAATGTAACAAAACACATTTTGCGATATAACCTTGTATTTTCGAAAACGGGTGTCCTGAAAAGTAAAATATGATCTAAATTAATCGCAAAAATGTTTTATTTTAAATGTAACAAAACACATTTTTCGAGATACAACTGTATTTTCGGATACCGGGTGTCATGAAGAGTAAAATATGATCTGAATTAACGGTAAATAATGTTTCATTCCAAATGTATCATAACGCTTTTTTGCGATATAACTTTGTATTTTCGAAAACGGGGCGTCACGAAAAATAATAATCTAATGTTTTATCTATCGTCTAACTAACGTCTGGAACACATCATTTTCGGGGAGAACTCTAGCCCGCGAAACGTCATTTAATTTAAAATAAAGAATGTTTCACGCATTTCAAAACGGAAAATCACCAGTAAGTGGACAGGGATTCAACCCTCCGGATTCAGTATTCTATATCCCCGTGTCAGAACTTTCTGAAGAATAGAACAAAGAACCCGTCAAACCGCCGCGGAAGAATGGGAGTATTTTTTGCACTAATACTTAGGGCATGACAATATCAAAATCGTCAAGATACTGGTGAATTTGCAAATTCCATAAATAAAATTGTGAATTGCTCGGTAACATTTTAGCTATAATTATCGCCGGGGTATTGTGTTGTTGAAAACACGTTGAAACTTGAGGGAATTAGTTACAATTAGCGCCTGACCTCTATTAGGCACTCGAGCACTCGAAAAAAAAAGCACTCGAGCCCAATCTTTTTAGCATTAAGTCGCATACGTAAAATATCCTGTAAAAGAAGTGCTGTTCATTAACGCCATCTCGTCTTATGACCACGCAGAAATGCCCTTATTGCCGAATTTTTCAATCACTATTTTAAATCAACATTCAGGATTGGCACAATTTCAGGTTTGCGAAGTTTATCACCATAGAAATACATGACAAAGTTAATTATCGTCTTAATAAATATCTGCATCACGGTATGGACAATAATATTACCATTCCCATAAAATTGGGACGGTAAATTTACAAATCTTGATAGGTAATATTAAAGCCAACGCAAATGTTAATTTGAGTCCTCAATGTCTTCAACAGCTGTTGCCGATGTGAACGAACGGGTAAACCCGAAATATAAAACTTTGATGACCGCCGACCCACAAGAATTCATATTTGTAAAAAGGAGAGGGCGGGAATATAGATTACCCAACACCTGGATATCGCCGCCAAAACGATCGGTGACAAGAACAATTAGCCATTACAACGGAATTAACCAGTAAAAAGGCTTTATTGCCGATTTTTTAATGTTTCCACCACGTTTATTCGGTACTCCTTAAAAATATTCGATTCAAAAAAATATTGAATTTTGCCCACCTGTCCTCGCATATCAATGAGGAATAGTTGTGTAATATCGCAAAATTACGGAAAATGCCACTCCTTTCAACATTGTGATTACAATAAAATGGCACTTAATGGTATTTTGTGAATTTGGTGATTTTGCAAATCTGTGACATGCTGCTAAAAGTTTCGTCTGATTTGAAAATCGTGCAGTTTGGTCACAATTCATCCAAAGTGACTATAACACGTACTAACACTTTTATATTCATTTTGAATTCATCGATATCATTGATAGTCACATGACCCCTTCAAAGAAACGCACTGCCTAGTATTCCAACATCTGGTTTCAAACACCCGGGAGCGTTTTTGCGGGAGAAGCGGAATCGGTGTGCTTGTATAATAATCATATTATAAACAAGAATTTTGCCGTTAATGCAAAAGCTTTATCTCCTTTGTCTGCATCTCATAGGTTAGAATTCCGATAAATATCGTTATGATATGCAGAATTGAGTTACAAAAGTACTAGTATGTTACTTATTTGTCAACTTAATACTCGAAAATATTTGTTAACTTTGAATTTTTATTCCATTCAAAATCGGAAAAAAGTGCTTTTTCTCTTCAAAATCGGAAAAAAGTGCTATTTCGCAGTCCCTAAAAAAAGTTGCGAAAGTGTTTCGCAAATTTCGCAAAAAAGTGCGCTAATAGTGAACACTGCCAGGCACCATTCTTCATCTGAAAAGTGAAAAAAATCAGATGTTTCAAAATATTTTAGGTTATTTTGCGGAACTACCATAGTATGTGTATCAGGTTAGGGTTAGGCCATAATTTTATTCCGATTTCCCTTGTTTTAGTTCTATTGCAAGTTAGAGGACTGTATGTGTTAGCCAAGTGAATATCCCCCTGCCCATAGGTTTCAGTCCCTTTACACAACTTGATGTAAAATAGGCGAACAAAATTAGTTACTTCCATATTGGTACACATACTTCTGTAGTGTCGATTTTCCATATATTATTACTGAGATGAAGGTTTGACAATATTTTTTATGAAGTATTTTCATACTTTCCTCCCAAATAGGGTGCTACAATCAAGAATCGCCATGCAAATTTGTGATGTCCAAAATGAACCATGCATCCAATTACATTCCAAATAATTATATTTCAATTAGGATTTTTTGCACACAAGATATTATTATAAAATAACAGAAAATTAGTGAGTGTGTTGGTCTAGGACAGTGGTTCCAAACGAGGGTCCGTGCCCCCCAAGGGTGCCACAATGCTAGACGCAAAATTGATTTTGCTTTTCAATTTATAAACAAAAACCTCCGTGTTTTTCCTAATTTAATTGCTTGATGAGGTTATTTCACAAAGTGTTTTCATCTTGCTGAATTGTTTGAACATAATGAGATTTGAAATCTAACAATCAAAATATCACACTAAATACAACTGGAATGATAAACAGGGGGCCATGAGTGCTAAAAGCCTCCGGAAGGGGGCCACAAGCAATACCATGTTGAATACCACAGACATAGGATGTAATAAATTGAATACTCGATGCCAAGAAATCTTCCCAAAAATACCGGCTGATGCATAGGGTCTTGTAAGTCGTGAACAAGCTTATAAAAAAGTGCAACCTTGATTTGAAATCATAACCGTCATCATTTTCTCTTGATTTTTGTCTGCTTTTCATTCGTTTCAGAACCAATCACCTAATTAGAATTAAGAGAGTAAAAAACATAACAAACATGCATTGGAAGATGTGATTGAATGAAGCAGACTGCACCTAACTTCTGACTTCCCTTTGACTTGGTGCTAATAAATTTGTATTTGTTGACGAGTGATAGGTATAAGACATGCAAAGGGTGAACAACACAAATAGCGATATAGAAGAAAAACATATGAAGTCCCCAAGAGCAGGGAAATAATTATTTAAAGAAATTTTACACAATCAAACATAAATTATAACTGAGCATGCATAAAAGTTAAATACCCACAACCTCAACCAAAGTGAAATGTAAAATTAGGGGCAAAATAACAAAAAATACATGCACATGTGAAGGTTCATCCATGTACCACACACAAATAAATGCTGCCGTACTCTCGTAGTTTGTGTACAAGATTAGGGTTGGGCCAGAATTCTATTCCGATTTTCCTTATTTTAGTTCTATTACTAGTTCGGGATCAAATACCCCCTGCCCATAGGTTTCAGTCCCTTTACACAACTTAGAACAAACAAAACACAACAAAAAAATAGTAAACAACACTTCTAATTAACACTACCTACCATTTTGTTCATCTCTGACTAATTTTCTTTCTTGTTGTTTGCGAAGTTTTTCTCTAGCTTTTGACATTTTCTCGTACCAATTGATGAACTCTGACCCTTCGTAATCGACCTTTGACCTTGCTTTGTTGCGAGCTTCAGCCATTTTAAGATACCAGTTCTTTTCAACTTCCTTATTTTCGAAACGAAGTCGGGCACGAGCTTCGAACATTTTTAAAAACCAGTCAAGCTCGTCGTCGTTTCCATGGTTACTTGGATACTTTTCTCCAGATTTGCGAAGTTCCTCCCTGCCTTCAAACATGCGTAAAAACCAGTCGAACTCCTCCTCAGAAAGTGGGGAATCCCCCCAATCTTTTCTCAAACTTTCTCGAGCTTTGAACATATGTGTAAACCATTGTGGGTCTTCCAATGCGATTGGTTCATCATCTGAGGAGAAAATTTCAAAACAGATATTTTAGTATTTTGGATGTAAAACAAAATAGAAAAAAGTATTTTGATATTTATCCTGAAGGAGAGGAAATGGCAAACCACGGCCTGTCGTCCCGTTCACAGTCCATGCCAGGGTATGAGATTAGTTTGCCAGTTATTTGTTTCAGATTCATGGTCTTGATGGTGGAGGAAGCCGTAACTGACCAGCGGTTTCGTGAATCACCCTACAGTGGCAAGGGTCTATTAGTCCTTCTTGCACATAATCATTCTCCACAAGATTCAAACCTGTGAACCGACACGTGGTAATTAGAGGAGTAATGATGGCAAGTGCTTCCTAACACTGAACAATCAACGAGAACAACACTTTTCTCCCTGTACATTACCATCATGGTTTTAGAGCAGTGGTTCCCAAACAGTGGGGGGCGTAGACAATTTTTTGAGGGGGAGTGAAGCCAATTGAAAATATGAATACTTGTTTGATTTGATCTTGTCCGCCTCAATTTGGATATTTACATTTCGAAACTTTTCATTTATTTCATTAGTTACGTTCCATCCACGTATTTCAACGTGTTTTTGACAAAAACACGCTTTCGACTTACTATCTGGTATTTGTAGCTTATTGTTAGCTAGTTATTTTTGAGGGTGGGGCGCGAGACTTGACAAATTCTAAAAAGGGGGCGTGGCTTAAAAAGTTTGAGAATCACTGCTTTAGAATCGAAAGAAGTTTCAGAAGGTTCATTTCCAATTCTCAAGGTAAAACTGACCTTCAAAAAGTAAATCCTCATCATCGTCAAAAGTATCATCATCATCATCATCATCATCATCATCATCATCATCATCATCATCATCATCATCATCAATCATCACTTTCTTGAATTAATTCTTCTTCAGAAGTTTCCCAAGATGGGAATTCAATCTTTTCTGGAAGCTGGATTACGGGAGCCATCAGGTCAGTGAAGTTGTTATCTGAGAGAAAAATGAAATATTATAATCCAGCCGAGGGTTAGAGATTTTTTGGAAAAACGTGCTACTTATTAATGAGTACTCTTTATACTTCACTCTTCTATCAGTAAGTCCTCTTTCCGCCTTTTAGTTGAGGACCTGGGACCTTGCTTTGAGCAAACTTGCAAATCTTCTATCAGTACTCTTTCCACTTTTAGTTGAGGGATCGGGACCTTTGAACAAACTTGTCTATAGAACTTTTAACCAGCCCCTAACATGGAACACTTCAGCAAATAATTTTAAATGAGATACTTGGAGGAATTTAATAATACAGGGTTTTCGCTAAAAAAACAGAAAGTTCGAAGGTCAGATGAAAATATGAATAAAATGTGTATAGGTTGAATTGGAACGATATCCCTGAAGTTAACCTTCAAAATGCTACACAAGCTTGGACTCTATGTTAAGACACTGCTTTGAAGTGCACAGACGACATTTTGAGCATCTATGAGTGTAATATAACATATTGGATAGGATGTACATATTTATCCCGGGGGAGAAGAAAGCCGATAATACGGCTTATTCATATGGCGAACCACGGCCTCTCGTCCGGTTACCAGCCAATGTCGGGTATGTGATTAGTTAGCAAGTTATTTGTTTTTCGGAAGCATGGACTTGATGGTGGAGGAAGCCGTAACCGACCAGAGGTTACGTGAACCACCCTACGGCGGCGAGGAGTCCAGCAATCCTCTCGCACATAATCATCCCTGCATGGGATTCGAACCTGCGAACCCACGCAGAGTAATCAGAGGTGCAGTGGCGAGCGTATTCCTAACGCTTAGCACGATGAGCCACACCGCCTCGGCTTTTTAAAAAAATTTTATGAAGGTTAAAGTAGCTGTTCATCAAATTTTCTGTTTTTCTAGCGGCCACCCTGTATAAGAAGAAGATGCATAACTTACATATTCCCCATCCCCAATCCACAGTTGATTTCTTCCGTTCACCATGTTCAGAAACTGGTCCATACATGACATTTCTCATACTTTCTTCATTGCCAAGAGATTCCCAAATTTCAGTGAATGATTTTGGTAAAATTTTCTTCTCAATATCGCAATAGACTTTCTGCCATTTATCGTAAATCGGCATAAGTGATGTGGCGACCTTTTTTCCCGCTTCTTTTGCCATGTTCATGTGTTTGCCTATTATTTCACGAAATTGCTGAGTACGCCTCCCCCATTTTTGTTGGTGACGCTTTTTCTTACGTTGATTTTCCATCGGTTGAAACTTGTCATTACTTTTCTTATGTCCCCATTTTTTGCCTTCTTCAACATTTCCACGGTCCGAATTCGGCGTACTTTTCCCGCTTTTTTCATCATTTTTTCGTTGCTTTTTCTCGAACCTTCGGTTAAAAAACAATTTTTGATCTCACCATTATCATCATCATTTCTTTTTAAACTTTCAGGATAATTGGTCTCTGTGGTCCAAAAATTTTTCACTGTTTTCATTTTGCGTTTCTTGTTGAGTTCTGGTCTGCTACTTTGTGATTTTGTCTTTGTAGATCACGAGAAATTGAATGTTTCATTTTTCCATGATTTGGTTTGTGAGACTCCTGAATTCACGGTGATTTTTGAATTCATCATAGTCCTTCATCATCATCAAATTCATGCTTTTTGCTCCAAGATTTAGATTTCTCATGCCCATGTTTAAATTTTCCATGGAAATTCCCACTTTTCCTTGTATTAGGATAATGATGATTTCTAAATTCACGGTGATTCTCATGAGCAGATTCTTCCTCATCAGATTCACCAAACTTGTTCACAAAAGTCTTCAGTTTATCCCAAGCTTCATCTGTTGCTTTTTTCACTTTCTGGGCCATTTTTGTGGCCCTTTTGTAAGCTTTAGTGCCATTAACCTTATTTAGAAGTTGATCAGTATCCAATGCAGACTGCAAACATTGTTTCATGGTGGGCTTCTGTAAAATGCAAAGAACAAAAAAACAGATGAGTCTGACTATTTTTTTATTAGGTGTTCTCAAGGCCTTAGACAAGAAGGGTCTGGGGTCTAGTGATTACTATTCTTATTTAATCCAAATTTAGGTAAAAATTGATATCCTAGTGTAGAATTTCTTAACCTGGTGGAGCAATTCTCAGAGGACCAGAAGCAAAAGCCTTCTGCAGGCGCTATTCACGTTGGTTGCATAAATTTAGAGTAGATCAATGTTTTTGCAAGGTTTTGGTGGTTTTTCCAATGTTATTGCACGCTTTATGCAAGATTTTTGATGTTTTTCCTTGGTTTTTGCACATTTTGTAAGGTTTTATTTTTATGGTTTCTGCAAGGTTTTTGGTGGTTTTTGACGGTCACTGTGATTTGTTTTACCAATGACTTGCATTTGGGTTTAAAGATTGTTAGCCAACCCTGTTGTGAATGACTGAGAGACCAGCAATATTCTAATACAAAATTATTCCTATGTTTGCTTGTACAAGACCTTGTTCATAGTAAAAACATGAATAAATACCTGTCATATAAATATGGCTCTTCCAGAAGTATGTGTACCAAAATGGAGGTACTAATTTTGTTCGCCTACTTTACATCAAGTTGTGTAAAGGGACTGAAACTTATGGGCAGCGGGGATATTCACTTGGCTAACACAGACAGTCCCCGAACTCGTGATAGAACTAAAATAAGGAAAATCGGAATAAATTATGGCCTAAACCTAACCTGGTACAGCTACTACGAGAGTACCGATAATCCTATGTCATACGCACACTGCTTTCAATGATATAGGGAGTTATAAGACTTAAATTATACCTTTTCAGTTCACTTGTGACGTTCTTCAATTTTTGGTTCAATCTTTTTTCTCCTTGCGTAGTCGTTCAATTCACGATTCGCAACCACCAGTCGATTTTCCGCATTTCTGTCTCCTTTCTACTGACATCTAGTGACTGATTATTAACAGAAATGGTTCTTAGCAGCGACAAGAACTCTGCTTTGTGATTTGAGATTTCCCGTCGTGCTCGGACATTTTTAGTGACCACATGGGCGTACAAGTGCGCAGGAACAAATTTGGGGCCAAAGACTGAAGTTGTATTGGTGTCCAAGATCAAATCAAGGTCATGAGGATTATTGTCACAAGATGGGGCTAAAGTTATAGGCTTCTCAATAAAAAACAGAAGAGTTGAAATAAATAGCCGTGTCGTACGGTCGCTCAAAATTTGTAATTTGTAGCTTGTTGTGTCTTTGAATCCTTTAACAGTGACATTCAGTGACGAAAAATCAACAGCTAGAGTTCCGTTTACGTGATAAGAGCATTGTGGGTAGTTCTTAGGTGATGAGGAAAAACTAGAAGCAGACTTGGGTTCACTAGAAGTGGACCTGTAAAATAAATAAACAAGAATGATAAGAATTGAGCATGTTGAATTCATCACTACTTCAGGGGTGTACAACTGGGGCCCGCAGGCCTCAAGAAAAAATTGTGTTTTGAATGATGTGCGGCCCGCAAAATGGGTTTTTAATTTAATTTGGTACGTGCAAATAATTCCAATCCCTCTGCGAAGCAACGTCGGGTATGGGAATAATTAACCTGTTATTTATGTCAGATGCATGGACTGACAAGTGTGTATGTGAACTAATTCACAATGGCGAGTTATACTGCAATCCTCTCTCACATAATCATCCCCCACAGCACTTGAAGCCGCAAACATGCAAATACATTGAAATCAATGGCCCAACTGTTATTATTTATCGATCTTGATCGGTAAGTACGTTGATAGGTATTTGTCTGCTCTCTGTTTGTCTGTGTGTTAGATGCACGCGATATCTCACGAAAGTGGCATTGGATCTGCTGCAGATTTGCATTCATCATAGCTCGGATCAGAAGCCTATTGATTTTGGATGAATTATGTCGTATAATTAGCGAGGTATTAATTAATTAGTGATGGGACACACGGTGTCACTATGGAGTAAGACCACTGTTTTGGGGGATCCCCTAACCTTCGATCGATAAGTCTTCGGTTTCCAACCGAATTCTAGTTTAATATTTGTTAAAGGAACTTCTTTCTTAATACAAACCTGCAATATTCTACGGGATCCTTTGCTCTCTTATTGAGAGGCATTTTCAATTGTTGTCCAAGACACATAGCATAGTTGCTCAAATCTCCCATTGTATTGTACAGTTTCTCCAAAGCAATTGACTTCAAATGTGTTCCTTGTTCCAACTTCCTCATTTTTGACCTTTGTCGCCTGAGTCTAAGTTGCAACAATTTGACCTGTGATCTGAACTTTGAACTCGAAGGGCAAGTTTTCTGACGCCTGGCTGCAAATGCTAGCATAAGAGGAGACAAGGTCTTGGTTGGTTCAGATTGTGATGGTGTGGAAGGTTGTTGATGGCGAGATTCTATAAATAAAATGAAAAGGGAGAAGTTAGAGCAGGGGGTCTCATACTTTTGGCGCTCCAGGAAGTGTGTGTACCAATATGGGGTAACTAATTTTGTTCGCCTATTTCACATTGAGTTGTGTAAACGGACAGAAACCAATGGGCCGGGAATATATTCACTTGGCTAACACAGACAGTCTCCAAACTTGTAATAGAACTAAAATAAGGAAAATCAGAATGAAATTATGCCCTAACCATAACCTGGTTCACACACCTAGGAAGAACCCCTATAATTTGGCCGTTACAGTGCCCGTGAAGAGGTTGACTATTACTTACGAAGCCCCACAAAAAATTTATACAAATAAAAACAAAAATACATGGTTATCTACCAATCAATGTCCCTGAGTAAACTAAAATTATTTTATTCAACGAATCGGATGTATTTGCTGCTTTGTATTTAAAAAAATTCAGTATTTTTTATAAGTAAACGAAAAAGAGGAGCACTTTGAGAAACAATTTTTTTGACACATTCCTCCGTTTGCAAATTTGGAAAATGCTGATTCATTCCTCATTAAGCATAAAAGCATTTACATTATTAATGGTTCATTAGCAAGTGATACAAGCAACTAGCCCTCTGGTTTTTGTTCATTTAAATTTAATATGCGCCCATAAATAGGTATTAAAATAATATTAATAATTAAGGAGGACCCCCACCCCCCCTTTCGTAGCTTGAAACCCTTTTAAGACTCTTGAAAACCCTGAACCTGCTAGCTGTTACAGTCTAACTTGGCAAATCAAAAATTTCAGAACCATCTTTAAAAATTCCTGGCTGCGCTTCTGCAGGGTAGGATGCCCATAACATCTCCTGACTTTTTAGGCTTCAAAAACAATTAGTGTTGCAATTTGTAATACATAGGCTTACCGTAAGATTGGATAACTGATTTCAATTGCAAGTTATGGATCTTGAGTTTATTTGATTGTTGGATAAGATTTCTACTTTCAGTTCTGTATCGATGAAGTCGGTGTTTCAGAGATTGTTGACGTTCAAGAAGACTGGCTTTTTCTTCAGAGTGAGCCCTGAGTGATTTCCTAGAGATATAATGTTATATGTCGTTTATTGAGGTTATATGTAGCAGCGAGGGTTCGGAACGAATACCCTAAAATTATAAATACATTCTAGAGTAATATTCAAAAATAAGCAATATCGTATATACATGAAATTGTGCAACTGAGATAATTTTTTTCATAAGTCACTAATTCATGTCTTTCGTAAAAGACAAAAAAAGACGCAATATAAAAGAAAATAAAAAAATTTATCAAATGGAACAAACATACTCATGAAGAGCGGTCAATTCAGAGTGTTGAGCTTGAAGTCGTTTATACAAATCCATATTAGTTGTCATGAAAGTATTTTCATCTTCTGCCACTTGCAATTCGGTCTAGAATAAAAAAATTAACATTTTCAAACAAGGTGTAGTTCGTAAAACAAGGTCACTTGCATTCACTCATAATTTTAGATTGATCTCTGAGCGAGGCGTGTCCTCAGAGAGACCATGGGGGCAGTCACCCTGGGCAGCATATTATAGGGGTGAGTTTGTTGCTTACACAAATAAGCATCATATACAACAATGTTCTTCAAATTTTTTTGGATCACGACCCACGACCAAGTTTTTTCCCTGCTCCCTTCTTGCACAAAATATCAGATCTTGGCTGCATTTCTGTGCAAGCGGGTATCAGTACTGGTTCCAAATCTTCCACCTTATTCGATATTTTTGTTTTAACATAAGTTATTGTCGATAAAGATTTTTCACATAGATAAGTGTAGGGTAAAGAGTAAGTATGGCTTGTTCTGACTATAATGGGTACTGCCACCCCCATTGAGCCATTTGGATCCCGCTGGGGAAGTTTGGGCCCCAGTTTGAAGAGACCTGGTATAGAATACGAAAAATTGATTACCTGAAGTTTCATTATTTCTTTGTCTCTTTTTTCAAATTCTATTTTGTTCAATTCCTGGCTTTTTTGAAGCGATTTTTGCAGCAAAGCTAGAGCGATGGATGACCTTTCTGCATCAGTGGTTTTATCGGA